GGGGTGCGATGGACCTGGTGTCCAGCACCAAGACCAGAGTGGTGGTCCCCATGGAGCACTGCACCAAGGCCAAGAGCCCAAAATCTTGGAGAAATGCACAATGCCACTGACTGGGAAGCGGTGCGTGGACCGCATCATCACTGAGAAGGCCGTGTTTCACGTGCACAAGAAGAGAGGACTGACTCTGATTGAGTTCTGGGACGGCCTGATGGTGGAGGACATCCAGAGGAGCACGGGGAGCATCATTGCCCTCTCCCCGAATCTCAGACCCATGCAGCAGGTCGCAGCCTAACTGGTAAGTGGCCTTGGTCCCACTGTGACCTCACAGGACTGCATCCGAGGAGGACACAATCACATTTCTACACTTCACCAGCGTCTGGCCAGTTCTCCCCTGTCGTCACCCCAGACACCCTGCCACTAGCCGGGCTTTGTTCTCTCAAGAGGAATAGAACTGTAATTAAAAACCAAAGGGAAACCGAGACCTTGACCTTGTATGTTCTGTGAGTTCTGAGGAAGCTCTGCTACAGTCACTGAGACGTTGACGCCCTCTTCATTGTCTGTGATCTTTAACGTTAAATTCTGTGCAGCTTGAGGTGATCCCACAGGAAGGGTTTCATCGAAGCGCCTTCCCGCAATGCTGAATCATGAAATGTAGAGAAAAGTGATGGGGGAGGAACAACTCCACCCAGAGTCACTGCAAAGGCACCGTCTTACTGCAACCATGAAAACACACGTGTAAATGTGAATTTGTGGTCAACGGAAATGTCTGAATGAAAGATGTTTTCCCTTTGGCCCCTCTGACTTTCCTCTGGGGCTTTTCATTTTGTCGCTAAGTTTCGTTTCCTTGTAGCCTCACCTCCTCCACCCCCCACCCCCACCCAGTAGCTACACAGATGTCTCTAGAAGGGAAGCAAACCGTCTTGGTGGCCAGTGAACTGGTAATGGGGCAACTGAAGGGGGAGAGACCGTTGGTGCCAACATCTCGCCGGGAAGTCTCCCCTGTGAATAAACAGCCCGTCTGTGCGTCGCCAAAGGCTTAGGCCAGGAGGCGTTCTAGAAACCTGACCTGTGGTCTCAGATGGGTTTTCTCCTGTGTTCCTGTGTCATCCTGAACAGACACTTAGACCCTTCTTCTCTGTTACGGAGCCTGAACAGGCCTCTTGTTAACACTCCCTTGTAACCCAAGAGGGGCAGTGAGGTACCTCTTCCTGAATCCACAGTCTCAAAACCTAAAAAGAAAAAACTGAGTTCATCTATGTGTGCACACGTGTGTGTGTGTGTGTGTGTGTGTGTGCAGGGTTCACACCCAGGCTCTCCATGGAGCCCGTGCTTTCTAAGAGCAGCGCCAGGGCTGCACACACAGGACGGGAGCTGGTGGGTCAGAACAGGACCAGTTGCAGCTGGTCAAGGAGGGCCTGTCAGAGGGGCCTCACTGGAGTGTCACCCCAATGGGAGGGCCAGGGTCTGGGATGGAGGGATGGTGCTCCCTGAAGGGACAGCTGCAGGGTGTCTCAGGGACCGTGACCAGGTGGGCAGTGGATGGATGCCACTGAGTGGACTGTGAAGCACCTTTCAGGGTTTCTGGGGAGGTGGCCCTGATCTGCCCTGGGTGTCGGGAGGGGCTTTCCAGCAGCAGTGTGGAGCAGGCAGAAGTTTCCAGAAGCAGGCAAGTGAGAGGGCTGTTAAGATAGTAGAAAGAAGGAAAAGCATTGCGTTCCTCCTTCTCCCACGGTGAGGAAATAACCTACGGGACAGAAGCGGACCTGGTCACAGCTTGGATTCCCTGTGAAGCTTTCAACCAGGCGTCCTGATTGTCGTTCACTGTGGCACTAGGGTCACATCCATGACTGCAGGCAGAGATGGGGTAGATGCCACAAGGGAGGTTCAGGTGGCACTCAGAGCAGATGAAGGCTTGGGGACAGCTGGGAGCAATCTTGGCCTGGCATGGGGGGGATAGAGGATGAGTCCCTGGGGATGTATGGGGCAGGTGAGCTGCTAAGACATCTGGGCCCTGATGAAGGAGATTCAGAAAAGGGGTGATCCTGGGGGTCTTGGGGGCCCATCTAGCCCAGAGAGGCAGCATCTGCATCTGGGTGTATGGGGGAGGCTACAGCATGGCTCCCATCTCCAGGCATGGCCCCCCTGTCCCCTATCACCTGCAAAGGGGGCAGGGTGCCTGCCAGCCTCTCACAGGTCAGGTCTAGAGGCAGGGACCTTGGGTCCCAGGGGCTATGGAAGCTCCCACCTCTGCTTTCGGGAAAGGAGCCTACCAGAGCCAGGCAGCCTCAGGGCCACACCCTGGACCACCCGGGCCTGCCCTGTGGTCCAGTCTCTCTGTACCCAGGAAACTTTAATCCGATCTTTGACCAAACAGTTGCACTAAGAAAAGCCAACAGTGAACACAGCCTTGGGGGCCCCGAAGGTCTCCCTGGCCCCCTACCCAAGGACAGGGCTCTCCAGGGGACCAGGGACCGGACAGCAGCACACAAGCCTGGAGGGCTCCCAGGCCAAGGCTGCCCCACCTGCCTGCAGGCATGGAGCTCCACTCCACCTGCCCGCATCGCTCCAGGGCCGCCTCCTGGTGCAGTCACAGGCCTTCCCCTCTGCAGCAGGGCTGCTGTGTGTCTGTGGCTCCACATCATCAGGGGCCTGCAGCTTCCTCGTGACTCTGACTTGTGAGACCTAAACTCCCCAAAGGGCTTCTCCCTGGGCCCTTCCAGTGTCCATTCCTATAGCCAACAACCTTCTGTCTCAGGGTCATCCCTGAGGGGAGCCTCTAATGGGTCCAGTGCATGTTTGTGGCAGGTGACGTCTCATAGCTCAAAGGTTAGTCTCTGGTTGATTAGTTGTTCAGTCAACTCTGGCCCATGGACTTGGGGCTAAAGCACAGCTGTGTAAGGACTGACCTTTGAGCAGGGCTGTGAGTGGGGCAGGCATGTCCTTGACCTGTATGGCGGAGGATTGGATCATAAGACTTGCTAATAGAAATGACATGTGTTTATGTATGGGCATGTATGCACACTCAGTATAAAACCACGTGTACATATTTGTGTGTACAAATGTGTGTATGCGTGTGCATCAGTGTTGCAACATTGGAGTGAAATGTACATGGAAGTGGGATGCTCCATACTAGTCTAAGAACCATAACAACGAGTGGTAATCACGCCCCTGTTGTTCAGTCTAAAAAATTCCACAGTGAAAGGAAATGAAGAGGTTCTACCACATTCTCATGTCTATGATGAAAGCTAGAAAATAACCTAAATGTCTAAAGATGAGATAACATCTAAATATTATGGTGTTTCTACTCAAAGGAATTTTATATACATTTTAAACGTTCATAGTGGAGACTTACTTTAACAGCTGGGGATATGTTTATGTGAAAGAACTGAGAAAAATACAGACCTCTTTGTTATGGTCACAATTTAAATTGACATATGACAACATCCAAGAAAAATGAAAATGATGTGGAATTGGGCAGAGAATTTATGGTTGATTTATTTTAACAGTTTCTTTATAGTTTTACTGCTTTGATAATTAAAAAAAAAGAGGTCGATGGAAATACAAACAGGTACAGGAAGATTGTCTCATTGATGAAGTTGATTTTTCCCGGGATAATCAGTGTTTTTCCTGCATCCTCAGTCTTTAAGCAGCTGTGGGTAAAATCCAACTTTTACAGCATCTGTTCCTAGGCTGGGCCCTCAGTTATGTCCCTGCCTACAGCCTTTTCTCTCTCTTTATTTCCTTTCACCACCAACCCAATGGTTAAGAACTTAAATGGATAAGAACTTGGGCTCCAGTATTAGACCGAGGAGGTTGAACCCTGGCTCTGGGACTTGGGGCAAATGTCTCTGCCGCTGTCTGGAGACTCGTATGGGGCATCGGGAATGGTGAGCGCCCTGCCTTTGGGCTGTGAAAGTGCTTACTAATTCTTGGCAGCTGCTCCAACCAGCAGGTGTTACAGATCCTACTCTAATCCCCAGAAAGTATAGGGTAGAAGATAGAACTTGGGCCCCAGAGGTCAGGATGGAGGTGGGGACCCTGGTTCTGAGAGTCCCTGGCATTGGGGCTCTGGGCCATCACTGAGGGGCTCTGATGTTTCTCAGTGAATCATGGGGTCCATGGGGTCCAGGTCACTCTGAAGACAGAGATCATCATGTGAACTGAATGAAAGCTCACGAGGCCCCCTCCCCCATCCCCTAAAGACCTGCCCCTGGGGGCTGAGGCTGGATGGGGGACTCTGGTCTTCAGAGGAGGAAACCGAGGCACAGTAGGTCCCTTGAGGCCTCAGTCTCTGCCCTCCTGGCCAATGGAGCCTAGGGAAGGAGGTCCCTGCTTTGTCCCCATGTGGGGCCCCCACCCTGAGTGACCAGCCTCTCTGCTCTCTCTGTCTCAGGGCACAGCGTGGATCCTGGCCTGGCTGGTCTGCTGGGGCGACGGGCACCGCGCTCCAGACAACCTTTCGTGGTCACCTTTTTCAGGGCGAGCCCCAGCCCTGTCCGAGCCCCTCGGGCAGTGAGGCCCCTGAAGAGGAGGCCGCCGAAAAGAACCAACGAGCTGCCGCCCCCCAACAAACTGCCAGGGATCTTCGGTGAGCCTGGGGACCAGTGGTGGGGACAGAACCTTCCTTGCCTTGGTGGGATCAAGCCAGTGGTCACCCCTCAGTCACCTTTCCTGACACACCTGTGCTCACTGCATCCTGGGGACCGGCCACTGTACCCTCTCTCAGGGTGAGTGTCTGCCCTCGAGTCCCTGCCTGTCCTGGCTCACTAGGCCTCACCTGGGTCTCCATCAGAGTCAGGTGTCCCCAGTAGCCCTTGGTGCTGACCCAGGTGCCCAGCAGGATCCAGGTGTTTATGTGAAGGTCTCCACCTCAGGATCAGGGACAAGCCTGACCCACCTCCTTTCTTTCATGGAGAGTCAGCCTTTGCTTGGCTTCAATGAGGCCACTTCTCCTGTGGAGTGAGTTTGGTAGGAGAGGTGGGGTGAGGTCAGGCGTGTCTCTGGAGGAAAGAAGAATGTGCTGCTGAATGGACAAGGGTCCCCAGGCTGTTTATGGGACCATCAGGAGGTCTATAGGCTGAAAGTCAGGGGAGGCTGGGCTGAGTGTGGGGTGATTGTAACCATAGGG